TTCGGAGGTTCGAGATGCTATGATCGCCGAAGAGACGAGTTTTTTTGAAAAAAACCTCAGTTATAAGTGAAGCGGATCCTTCTTACTTCTCCGAGACCCCATAATTTAGTGCTTTCAAGAGAAATTACTCGAACTACCGTTATCAAGGCAAACTCATAAGTTTTGTTATACAAAATGAGTGTTAAGGGTTGAACAAGTAGTGAGCAGAACTCTTGCAGTTACAGCCGGTTGTCTAATGAAGGAAAACGTTGCAGTTCTTCGCCGTTAACATCAAATAAGTAGCAATGGTCATTCCTTTGACAAAGAACTCTTTCATGGGCTAGAACTTCGTGCTTTTACGAGTGGCTTCGAAAAAGCGAAATAAACGTAAAGTAAGAAGGAAGAGTCAACAGAGTGAAGTGGAAACATCTCAATCCAGATGATCAAACCAAGAAGAACAACATATTCGAATTCATGGTAAAGCAAAAAGAAGGCTTGCAAAGAAGCATCAAAGTCAAACATAGTCAACAATTAGCGCCTTAATATATCCACTATTATGGCAAAGAGATACTGTCGCACATCTATAAAGATGTAAAATAGAACTTGTGGTTTATCTCAGTTCATTTCCATAAAAATGTGCTAACCGTTCTTAGAGGGACCCAGGACTTGATTTGCGTTAAAGGAAAGAACTGTTCTTTCATCAGCTGATATTGAAGCTTATCTCAAAATTTCTCACTAAAATCAGTTACATTCAAAACTACAATTAATATGTTGTGACTATTCTGTAGGGTGCGATATTCAATCTTCTAGAACGTTCGCAGCAAAAGTGGGCATGAAAAAGCGTAACGGTGTCTTCACAACTTCTACAAAATAAAGGATGTACAAAGGAAGAAATTGCTCTGATAGTAGTGTAAACTAGATTTGGAAGGCGCATTAGGTGCACAGAGGATTACTACAAGGATACTGCTATTGACGAACCTTAACTTCTCAAAATTTTTGCACCTTTTCAGCTAGGAATCATTGTCTGCTCTTCCCTTGAGTTTTAACGAACGGAAAATGTGTGTCAAACACTGACACTTCATCAAATCTTTGCGTAATGCACGCCGTGCTTTACGACTAACTCCGGCCAAATTTGATGTGATCTGAATATAAATTACGTCAGCTTCGATGATAACATCATCACAAGAGCGGTAAAAATTAAGAAGAAGGCTTTGGAGTCAAAAAAAAACTGGAGTAAGTTAACAGAGAACCATTTGTATTGAAAGTTTTACAAATGAGCATATGAAACTCAAATCATCTGGATATGACAAGATGACAAAACTATCCATGACTACTCCATGCCTCTTCAATTTAAAACCTCGGCATTATTAGTAGGTAGTGTTCAGTATTTTATATGATTGCATATTACATGATTTTTGTAAGCATTATCAGCAATTACGATTTCATTTACAAGATTTCTTTTTCAAACCTTCAGTTGTTTTACCTGTTTTCAGATATTAATCTTATG